TGATGGTGTCCCGGTCATGTTTTGATGGTGCCCCGGTCGCGTTGTGACGGTGTCCCGGTCATGTTTTGATGGTGTCCCGATCATGTTTTGATTGTGACCCAGTCATGTTGTGATGGTGTCCCGGTCCTGTTTTGATGCTGTCCCGGTCATGTTTTAATGGTGTCCCGGTCATGTTGTGATGGTGTCCCGGTCATGTTTTGATGGTGTCCCGGTCATGTGATGGTGTCCCGGTCATGTTGTGATGGTGTCCCGGTCATGTTTTGATGGTGTCCCGGTCGTGACGGTGTCCCGGTCATGTTTTGATGGTGTCCCGATCATGTGATGGTGGCGCGGTCATGTTGTGATGGTGTCCCGATCATGTTTTGATTGTGTCCCAGTCATGTTGTGACGGTGTCTCCGTCATGTTTTGATGGTGCCCTGGTCATTTTGTGATGGTGTCCCGGTTATGTGATGATGGTGTCCAAGGAAGAGATGGTCGATGCGTTGAAAACAGCAGCTGTTTCCAGATTTTTCTTTTTGTCCCGGTTTGTATCTTGCTATTGGGGTCTCCAGCTGGGCTAATTTTTTTGGGGTGGGGCGGGGGGGCATTGTGAGGCACAGTGTTGTACTGAAGGACGGAACACCAAAAAAAATGGTGCTGGAAGACTTGCACCATTCAACTGATGGCTCCAGCGGTGATGTTGCCCTCACACCCTTTCCATGCGCTGCCTCATGTTGAAACTTACAGACGCCTGGCACGATGGACTCGTAATGCCAAAGTGGAGCTTGTGGTGGACCCTGTCGTAGGCATGCGAGCTGCATTCCTCTTTTCTTCCTTGGGCTTATCTTAGGACTGCGACCTCCAACGGGACGTCCGTGGCACTTGATGAAGCTTCCTTGGCTGGGCTGTGGCCTTAGGTTTGGACCTAGAAGCCAAGGGTCTTGGGGTCTTTGGGCGAAAGCAGGCTCTCTTCCGAGTGAATCTAAGTCATGTAGGAATATGGCAGATGCAGATGCTGAGGTGCCAGCACCTCGTTTTCGGCACCTCGGCGCACAGTGGCACGATGGATCACATGGTCCGTTCTTGTCAATGTCAGGTGCTTTCTCGAGGTGTGATGCCCAGGAGGCGAGGTCGGTTTTGAAGTGCCTCGGTGTGTGGCTTCTGCAGACTTGGATGACGTTTCATTATATTCTTCATTTCTTCCGGATCCTCCTGTTCCGCAGCATTCTTGGCTCACCATCGGATTGCACTTGGCACTTCCGTAGATTGGCTTCAAGGATGTTTTCCTGCTGCTGCGCGGCTGACGTGAGCGGACGGGAGGCAGAGCTCCCAGAGATTCTCCACCAGAAAGTCCTCGACCCAAATGCCTCAGAAGCCCTGCAAGAGCTGCCGGTGGAGGAGGAACCGCAGGAGGCACCGGCATCAGCACCGCCAGCAGCCCCGGAAGCGCCGAAAGGGACGCCCGAGGTGGGATCCTTTACCGTGTTGGTGCCCGCGGGAGAGAATTCAACGCTTGGAGTGGAAGTGGATACAACATCCATGGGAGGTCCCATGATCAAAGGCGTCAATGAGGGTGCTGTTTTGGACTACAACAAGCTCAACCCAACTGGGTCCATTTTACCCTTTGATGTGGTGACAGCTGTAGGTAAGGCTCAAGAGACAAAAGGCATCGAAGCCATTGTCGAGATGATGAGTGGCGAGATGGTTGGAGATATGACCTTGACGCTGAGTCGGCCCCAGAAGATTCAAGTTTCACTTGCCAAAACCTCAACGCTGGGCATGAAGTTGGATTTCACGAGTACGTCAGTTGGCGCTGTCGTGCGCGAGATCCTGCCATCAGGCTTGGTGGCCAGCTGGAATGCTGAGCATCCAGACAAGTCTTTGTCTGCCAACGACAGGGTCATTGAGCTGAACGGCCAAGCCTACCGTGGGCAAGACTTGGTGCAGGCCATGAAAGAGGAAAGCGAGCTGTTGCTCACAGTGCTCAAGTATCGGACCTGAGAATGGGTGTGAAGTGCTAGTGGCGATGAATGTTTTTTTCTGACTGGTTGCTGAGCCTGGGAATCCATTGACTCACCAGTTTGTCTTTCCAAAGGAAAGATGATGAAAGATGCGCGGAACATCCTTAGCTGCTTTAGGACCGAGAGTTCGTTGGAACGAGAGAAAAGGCTCTCGAACTTCAGCCTTTGGTGTCTCTTGTGGCTTTAGCCTTAGCTGTGCAGAGCTGGGCCAAGTAACGACTTGATTGATGACTTTATTGACATGCAGGCGGCATGGCGGTGTCAAGCCTTTGATTCGTACATGTCGCAGCCAGGCCCGACAGCTTTTGGAGGGGCATTTTGAGGGGGGGATGTGCAGTCTTCCAGGCAAAGGGGCTGGACCACCAGGAGCCTCAGTCCATCTACTTCCTGGCTTCATGGCAGCAAGTATCAGCAAGTAATTCTCAGAGAGATGCCCCGGAAGATGCAATTTTCCAGAAGTATTTTGGGAGATATCTCACCACTATTCACCAGTTGGATGACGTGGCTTGAGGCACACTACAACTTTTGTGACCATCTCTTGTTCTACGAGGCTTAGCTGACTGCCAGTTTATAGCTTCAGTATGACGGAAACACAGACAAGCCAGCACAAATGATTTATTGTAACATATAGCACACACACACACACATATATATATATATACACATATATATATATACACATAAGATCATGATAAGACAAACTGGTACAACAGAAGATAGGAAACAATCTTTTCAAATGGTAGACATTCCCGGTCAGTTGGACCATGATTTCAAACAGACGACTGACAACATCAAGAAAATCTCCGTTGGAGAGCCCAGCACTCTAGCCACAGCAGAATTCTCAGACAATCAAAGCTGGGAGGAGAGCCAAGAAAAAAGAAAGGAACAGAGAGCACGAACAGACAGGAAACGGACATGGCCAAAGGAAGCGGGAAAGGAAACAAACAATGGATAACAAGGACAAGGAATTGAACGGGAGAGGAAAAGAGAAAGGAAACGCGGACATGAGCATGGAGGGCCAGAAGAAACGGACACTGGATGGACAAAGGGAGCACAGAAGAAAGGAAAAGGAGGGAGGAGGAGACGGATATCGGATATAGAATCTAGAATCGGTAAAGGAGAAGAAGACGAAAGAGAAATGGAGAAGGCAAGCGGAGGAAAGGAGAAAACAGAAGGGATGAAAAGGATTAAACCGCCTCAGTTGTCCCAAATATATCTTCTATTGTATTTGATTTGGTTGCGAGCCTCTTCTGTTTGAACTGTCTGGGTGTGGACATCGGGCACGCTTTTAAACAGAAGGTTCTGACAACTAGATTCTTCCAGAATAGGCATCCGTATTATATACACATGTAGAACAACTCCCCCAACTTGGACTACAAAGCCATTCTTTTTATGGTTGGATGTCTATGCTGTGTGATTTGCATGCAAAAATTTATCTCCGGATTTGGACCAGGACGGCCATTTTCAGCATGGCTCCGATTTTGCGTTCGGTGGCAGTGATGGACATGGCAATTGGCGGCTGGAGGGCGAGGAGAGGGGGGGGAGAGTGGTAAAATGTGGGTTTCCCTTGGCCTCGATGTTTGTTTCTTCTTGATGCTCAACCCCTTTTTAGCGTATGTGCTTGTTGTTGTTGTTGTTGTTGTTGTTGTTGGGTAGGGCTTCACCTTTCTTTCTTCACTTCAATTCTTTCTTCTCAATTCCTGTCCCGCATTGTTCTTTGCCTTTCTCAGTGCGGTCAGCATGGCTTGGTCGACCCATTGCCTGCCTTCGGAATTTGGAGCCTCTTGTTGAAAATGGCTCCAATGGTGCGAGGTCAAGTGTCTTAATTTGAGGAAACATTACAGAACGGCATTGGAGTTTGTGCACATGCAGCATGCTTTGTTTTCTTTCACCTAGCATTGTGAGCACCTGACTCAAAACTGGGTTGAACCACAGCACCTGAACGCGCGTCGTGGCAATGGTGCGGAAAACCGGCGGGCTGCTACTTCTGCCCCTCGGCAGGCATTTTCTGGGCAGATTAGCATCCCTCTCGTGAAATTAGTGAAGGGTGATGATTCTGATGCAATTGGTTTGCGAGGCTCCTATGGCCTAGCGGGCTTCTTATCAACTTCAGTCTTCCTGACACGACAGAGTTGCTCAGAGTTATTGGAACAGTTGCAAGTGTAGATAGGTCATGAAAGATTTTTTGAGAGCAATAGGATATTTCTGCGTAGATTTCACTGCCACTCGAGTACTTAGCTGTGGCTTCTACCCAGGCAAAGGCATGCTGTGGTGACAGGAGCCCCATTTGGTGGCCAGTGGACATGCTGTGCTCTTTCATGTCGAGTACAAATCAGGGACTTTTTCGCACTTCGAATGTCCAGTGTTGCACTGTTTTTGCTCAGTGCCCCGAGTTTGAAGCCGACAGTCAGGAGCTGCAGGGTATTTGGGACGAGAGCTTTGCGCGCAGCTCCTGGAAGATCATTGGAGGGTCACCGCCTTGGTGAGAGAGGTGCGGCAGATGAGCTGTCTGGGATGCGGAAGGATGCTCGCAATGGCAAAAGTCCCTCATGCCATCGTCCAGGTTCTTGCCTTCATCCCTTTGGTCCTTTTAGGCAATCTGCACTCAGACTGGAAATCATCCTGTTCGCATTCGGAAGATCGTCTTCTTGGCCATGACATCCACTTCCATGGTGAGTAGGAGGGTAGACAACAAGTACGTCTTTTTTCCAAGTACGAAACCTTTGTCTATGCCCAAACACCACCCAAACTGGATAGCTACAAGCACAGCTACCAGGCATGGGGGCACGCAACTGGGGCAACCGGCTCTTAAGGGGTACAGCTGCTCACACGCACCAAGAATCGGCAGCTTCTTGGCTCGGACCAAGATGTTGTTTCAGAGGGTTTTGCCTAAGAACAATTTCTCACTTCGAGTGATTCAATTTATATAATATACCTCCCTACTAGCCTACTAGTCATAACCCTACCCGTACAACTCTGTCTTCATCAATTGTTGCACCATGCCCTGCTGATAGATGTAGACTCAATGTAGACTTCATTGAAACATTTTGCATGCTGCGGCCATGCCTCTATCCGGCAAATTAGCTTGCCGCGTGCTGCTCTACTCGATTTCTGGCATTCCTCTACTGGCTTTGGGATGGTCATTGCTGCTCCTTTGTGGTGCTTGGCTGGCTCTGACTGGTTTCTGGACGCTTTTGGAGTTCGGGGCTCTTCATTATAAATTCCGTTCAATGCCTTTCCTCTTCCGATTGCTGCTGAGCTATGCGTTCACCGCGCTTCTTGTGTGCTGTGCCATGATGAGTGATCTCGGTGCCGTGCCCCTGCGCGGTGCGCTGGGTGCGCTTCGTGGTGTGAAGACGATCTCGGTGGTGTTGCCCTGCGCGAACGAGAGCTTCGTGCAACGCACAGTGGAGTCGATCTGGGCGAACACACCCAAAGAGGAGCTGCTGGAGATTATCATTGTGGACGATGCCAGCTGGCCGCCGGTGACCTGCCATGATTTGGCGAGATGCCCATGTAGCACTGAGTTTTGGTCGATGCCCGGAACCGGCAGGTGACCAGGGTTGTTTTGAGGCTGCGGGCCCTGGGGCTGCGGACCACTTTTGAACCCATTCCGTTTTGGAGCTGAAAGTGGCAATCATATTTCGGGTGGTTGTACTCCGAAAGATTTGCGCTATTCGTACCTGTAGCTCATATTGTCCTCCAGGTAACGGTGCAGAATCCGCGCGATGTGTTCCTCTCTGGCCACGTGCGGATTCTCCGCCAGTCCCCCGCTATTGGCCTCATCCAGTCCAAGCAGCGTGGTGCTGAGGCCGCCAATGGCGATGTTGCCTGGCGGGGGAAAGGCCGTAGAGATAAGACGGAATACACTTTGTGGACTGAATTCTGCTAAGCGGCCCCAGACAATTTACATTTTCATATGGGCAAGTTATGCTGAGAAGTCGAGGCCATTGTGTTCCTCGATTGCCACGTGCGGCCGATGCCCAACTGGACAGCACCGCTCCTTGCGGAGCTGCGGTTGAACCCTCGGCGCATTGCCGTTCCGCTCATTACGGGGCTGAATCCTGACACATGGGAGGCAGGGTGCAGGTCCTTGGTGTTTGGCTCTTTGGGCGTCCTTGCCCTCAAAACCTAGACTCCCTAGACCCAATAAAGCTCCTAGAAAGCTGCGCCAAATTGCAGGAGCTTTCTCCACAAGAGGGTGGCAAGAAGATGTGCCTCACATGGTCCGTTGATTTCTTTTGGTGCAACGAGCTTTCAGGGATGGACGTGCCCATTCTGAGTGGCGGGCTTCTGGCCATCTCAAGAAGTTGGTGGCACGAAAGTGGAGGCCACTTTGGCTAATCGGTTCATCAGGGTGCTAGAGTTGGGTTGGCTGACGGCCATGTTTTGGACTAGTGACTAGATGATCAGTACGTACTACAGTTACATCAACACTACTCCTGCTTGTGGGCACCATTTTGGAGCTATTGAATTGAACGCCTCCAGAGAATCAGAGAGGAGCGGAAGTTGAAAGCAACGTGGGAATCAATAGCTTCACAGGCAAAAGGATGTGGCAATCAACTGAGGCTACGACTCATCGATGCGCTCCTGGGGTGGCGAGAACATTGACCAGTCCTTGCGTACTTGGCTTTGTGGTGGTGAAATCGTTTATGCTGAAGGCTCCCGAGTGGCGCCCCTCGTCCGCAGTGCCTCCGGGTGCCCAGGCATGTGGCGTAAGCCTCAGAAAGAGATCGGCCAGAGTGTTGAGAGGGGTCGGGAGGGTGCACAACATATTGTCAGTAGATGTAGAATCATTTAGAGGTTCTCCCACATCACATTCAATGGTTACACTTTTGGGCACCTGGACCTGCCAACATTTGAGTCACGTGCGTTTGCGGGATATATTTTTGCATGCAGACTGAAGGCACATGTGGCGGGATGCCGGCAATCCCAAAACCGCCCTGCACTACTCCATCCCGGAGCGCGATGTCTTGAGAAACCGCTTGCGTGCAGCTAAAGCGTGGATGGGGCCATGGGTGGAGAAGGTGCAAAGCTTTCAAGAATTTGAGAACATTGATGTTGGAAGCCTATCAAATTTCGATGAGCTGAAGAATCGCTTGAAGTGTGGCATGTTTGAAGACTATTTGCGGAGGTTCGAGGCCTTGTTTTTTGGAACTGGCATGTTGCCCAGTTCTGTTTTTCACTTGAAAGCCGCGAATGGAAAGTGCCTAACATTGGACCTGTATTCTCGACAATTGTTTGGCCATAGCTGCATTGAGGACTTTGAAGGTCAAATCTGGCATCGGTCGAATGCCTTAGGAAAGGACGACCTGCAATGTTGCAGTGGATTGAAGCTGTGGAACTACAACTATTGCTTGGCTTGGTATGGCGGCCAGGTTCAAGTTGTAGACTGTTCATACTTTGGGACCTCCAAGTACCAGGATTTTCAGATTGTGATAACGAACGAGGTAGAGGGAGAAGCAATCATATCTGTGCCGGACATTGAAGAAACCAAGCAGTGCTTGAATTCTGGGCAAGTCTCACGGCCAGCGGTGCTTTTAGATGTGTCTCAGGCAAACTGGACGTTCCCTGAGCTGGAGCTGGTCAATGAGGGTCTTTTTCGTGCTGTCGCAGCTTCAGGACGTTGCCTCATCACCGAGGTCGGCCTTCAATGGGGTTCCTGTGAGTCAGCTGCAGGCTTGGAGGTCATTGGTGAGGATGAAGGGCGAAAGCAGCTGCAGATAGCTGACCAATGTTTGGATGCTGCTCAAGGTACCCACATTGCACTCTACCCATGTCATCCAAGAGAGGAGCGCATTCCAAATCAGCTCTTCATTGCAGAAGAGGGTGGGCCACTGTGTTGGCCATTTGGGGATGCGGATGGGTCACCAGATTCCCGCTTGCGATGCTTGGGTGAAGGGGAGCTGGAACAGCCCCAAGTAATGCTGCAACCATGTGCCAACAGCCCTGTCAAGGCAACCCTCAGTGATCACGGGCAAGTGTTTCACAAACATTCGCAGGGTGAAATGTTTATTCTGAAACTGGAATCTGGCCATTGCCTCGGCGTTGATTTTGAGAAACCCATGCAGGTCAATGGGGAAGACGCCTTCCCTTTATCTGTCGGTCAGGCTGAGTGTTCTCAATCTTGGATTCATCATGAACATTCACTCGCCCTGTCTTCGGATGAGGACTGGTGCCTTTCGGCCAATGACTTTCAGCATCCGGTGGTCACCAGTTGTTGGCCCGAGGACCTGTCCCAGCACTTCGAAGCACAGCGTTTGGAAGGCCCTCAGAAAAACACTCCGCTGGTGGCCCTCCGGAAGCGGCCTCACTGGGTGGACAGCGGCCGGCAGCGCTTCCCTGCGCTCTGCCTTGACACATCGCGGGAGGGGGCTGCGCGGGAGCCCGTGCGTGTGGCGCAGTGCGAGGAGGCGAGGATGGAGCAACTGTGGACGTTGGAGTGGGAAGTTGTGCCGCTGGAGACCCGACTCTTCCGCGAGTGAAGGAGCGTCTAAGCATGTGTCGGATTTGTGCTTGCGTAGACCTTCGGTGCAGGCTTCGGGTGCGCAGAAGTGGGACTCAAGATGGAGAAGACAGGAACTTCTGCTCTCGTTGGACTCTGTTCACGGTCGATCTCACCAGCTGAATGAGATGCCAAGTAAAGACGACCGACGTTTCTGGATGAGTCGCTCTTCAAGTTTAACCATCGCCGCGACACTGGCATACAAGAGCTCTGGAGACAGAATCAGCATGGCACGTCAACTGAAAAGTGTGTCAGCTTTTTGAGGCTAGTAGCTGGGCCCCAGCTAAGTGAGTCTCATGGACGCATCCAGATGCGTGAGCCATTTTTTGTGCAGGTTTCAGCTGAGCGTGCGCAAGCCCTAGCAGAGCTGGCCAAGGATATTGGTGGTGACTTCCAAATTCTTTCGCTGCTCGGTAGCATGTTGGGAACCAAATTCAGAATGTAGAATGCTGCTCCTTTTGGTGAAAGGGCCAAACCATAACTCAAGAGTCACGAGAGGGAGACGCAAGTTCGGTTGTACTGGGAGTGTTGGGTGGTGCGGGTGCCGTATGTTTTGTGTGATAGCCACGCGTCCTATATGGCTTCCTTCCTTGGTGGCCTAAACTTTTACCCCAGTGGAAGGCCAACAGCGCATTCTTGGCCTTGCCCGACCTGGCTAAAGTGGCCAGACATGGCTAGACGGGCTTCCTGGATAATGATGATAATGGGGTGATTGTAGCTTTGGTGTTCTGTGGATAGCTTCGGAGGCTCGATCTTCTGGATGATGTGGCCTTGCAGCAGACTATGACAAGCTTAAGGCCTTGGTGATGGGACAGTGTTGACGACATGGATTCACCAGGTTTCTGGCAGTACCTCTCTCGATTTGGATCTGTTGGCTCAAGCTTGCGAGCAGCCTACGGGCCAAACGAGACCCAATGTGAATGTCCCATGGGTCAGCAAGCTTCCACTGAGAATCAGGACCTGGAGGATGGGGTCAAAACAGTGGTTCTCATTCATGGCCTTGCCTCCTGCGCTCTCAGAGGAATTGGGGTCGAAGGTGCAGCCGGCTTCTTGTGTGACAACTGTCGGAGCGGCAACGTGTCTCGCTTGGTCTATGTGAGCATCAGTGAGCTTGCCAAGCGGCCCTACATTGTGAAAGGCTTAGGCCTGGCATGGGAACCAGCAGTGTCTAAGGATGGAGTGGAAACAATGAATACATCACATGGATATCATAATATTCTGGTCAATCCTGTTGAGGGCTTGGATGGTATCAAATCCTTGAATCCGGGAGCTGAGTCCAACCTTGCTCCAATCCTTCTTTGGCAGACGGTCATTGATTCGCTCTCGGACTTCAATTTGTTGGCCATCAATTACGACTGGAGACGATGGGGCGACCTCATCTACATTGAGCAGCTGGTGGAGAAGTTTCAAAATCAGGTTCAGATGGCTGTGCGCATCTCTCGGCAGCCCACGGTGATGATTGCTCACTCCTTGGGTGCACAGGTGATCACGTACATGATGGGTGTTCTTGGAGCTGCGTGGACTCAAGCGCATATCTCTGATGTGATTCTGGTGGGCCCTGCCACCATGGGATCTCCTTCAGTCTTTGCGGCATATGCCAATGGCCCCTCCACGATCACCCACTCATCAGTGGTACCTGTGGCCAGCTTCTTGGAGCAGAGGCTCAGGGATGTGGCTTCCACTTGGCCAGGATTGTTGAGCGTGATGCCAACAGCCTTGGATGGGCTGGATACCTTTGGTGGACTTTTGATGGCCGAATCACCTCAGAAGACCTATGGTGGAATGAGCAGTGTAGAGTTTCTGGAAGATTTAGCAGCTTGCGAAGACGATGAGGCATTTGATGAAAACACTCTTCACGAGCGTGCCCGCAAATGGATGGAGAAGCATTTGGTCCTGAATGCGCACCGCGCGTGGCGGAAAGAGTTTCAAAACGCTGCGGTGATGCGGAAGGGGTTTGAACTGCACGTGTCTCCGAATCTCAGGCCGCCCAGCTGCCGAGTGCACGTCATTTATTCGGATGGCATCGATACCCCTTCCAGGATGAAGTTTCAGCGGAACTTGTACCACAAGTGTCAGATAGTGGGCTTTGAGAAAGGCGATGACACACTAACGGCCAAGAGTGTGGAACAGATGTGTGCAGCCTGGACGAATGCTGGTGTTCCACTTTCAAAGCACAATGCAGGACACGTGCACCACAAAGAACTCATCTCTTGCCCCTTTACATTGAATGTTGTGCGTGATGTGATGGCAAAATATCTTGATTCCCAATCTGAGTCCGAAAGCGAAGATGGATGGTGTGCAGCCTACTAGGGCCTAGCCCTTTCAGAAAAGAGTGGGGCTTCAACAGCAGAGCTGAATTGCTTCGATTTTACCTTCATTCTTTCCGTTTCCGAAATGTAAATGACATGTATATATATATATATATATAACTAATTAATTTATACATTCAATTGGTTCGGTGATGTTTCTTGCTTCGATGCTGCATTTGCGCTACTCGGAGCGTGCGGGGATACTAAAAGGCCTACTTGAAATCATCATTTGCCTTCATCTTCGTGGCCGGCTGACAGGGACCCCCCCCCCGTACTCAGGGGATACGTGCCCAACTTGCAAGTGCCCAGCAGTCTTGACATGTCGCCTAATTGAATCTGGGTAGGTGTGGCACTCACCAGCATCCAATTGCAAATTCGCCTGTCTTGTGACAAGCCGTCGGATTGTGTGAGGCCCAGTGTGATCTTCCACGCGGGGGGCGTGTTTCGGCGCTGTAAGAAGCCCATGGAAGAGATGGTGGAGCCCAACATTGCGATGGCAGAGGCGTCACGGATTCTCATGCTCGCTGTAGGTCACTTGGAGCAGTGAATGGCGATTGCTCTTTGGTTGCTTTGTTTTGGCTCATTTGTAGCGGCCGGGTAACATGCACATAATGTCAACATCAAAGGCTGTACAGGCTATATCGAGTTATCACCAGTCACTAGATCAACAACTAGGACTCTCAACATTGCATTGTAACGCAGTTCGAATGATGTTGAATGACATGCACCTTCGCTGTGACTGATTAACAGTCCCAGTTGGATTGACAATAGGTCTCCATGGTTGTGTTGAGGACGTTTTGCATTTCGAGTGCTTGCTTCATCCTTGACATTCTGTGAATGTCCATGTTGAGAGTGAATGTGATTCTCTTGAGCGGTCGCAGTGCAGTGGTGGCAGCTTCTCCGACCACCAGCGTCGGAGAACTCAAAGTGGCTGCCCAGCAATCCTTGGGGCAGGGCTTCCTAAGACTTGTTTCTCTGGATGGCCACTTCTTAGACCCCAGCCTGGCACTTCATAGCGTGCTTCAAGACGGAGACGTGGTGTGTGCGGTGGCGCAAGCGGCCAAAGTTGCCGCAACAGAGAGAGCCTTTGCTTTAGGTGTTGGCCGCGTGGTCACCTGGGGCCACGTGAAAGATGGTGGAGATTGCGTACAGCACAGGTCGCCGGTGCATCTCCAGGCCACACAGCATGCGTTTGCAGCGATTTGGGCTGATGGCAGTGTCACGACCTGGGGTGATTCGAGAAAAGGTGGATACAGCAGTGAAGTCCATGAGCAGCTCCATGAGGTTCAGGAGATTCAGGCCGCTGGGTCATATTTAGATACAAGACGTAGAGTTTCTAGAATTTGTATGTGCTTGGAACATAACCCGTGGAAAGCATGCCATATATATATATAGCCATATATCTTGATTGAATACATTCTACTAGACAAAATGAGCAGTGTTTTGTATTGAATGATAAACTTAGATTAGACTGTTTGTAACTCACCCAATGTTCGAAGGCACGGCATTTGTGTGATACATTATGTGAGGAGAAGGCTCGCGAAGCCTCTTGCGTGGATTCACGCAGGCGAAGCCAATTCGCGTGAAAGGTTGCGAAATCAATTCGTGAAGCCTCTGGTGTCACGCGAAGCCTCGCGAAGCCAACCTTCCCACAAATTCTGACTATGCGAGCCCCCCCAGAAAAGAGAGGTTTATTGTGAAAGAACTTGGGACGGCTCAGTGGACAGCCTCTGCATACCCACTGATCGCCTCTGCCTCGCGGTGCGACCCGTGGCAGTGGACAAGGGCCCTTCAGTCCAGTGGGTGCCCAAACAAGCTCATCCGCACGGTCAGCAGCTTCACCCAACTCGCAGATCTCACAGAACCCCGCTTCGCCCCGACACCGCTTTGGGACTGGGGCAAGCGATGCCCACACCTGGGTAGATCCTTCAGGGTGGTTGGCTCTCTGCTTATCCCAGCCCTTCTGTGAATGAGGTCTGAGTGGTTCCAGCTCCAAGTTGATCCGGAGGTGTGCATGTGCCTTCCAGAATGTGAGCCTAGGTCCTAGGTGCCAACATTTTTTTTGGAGATGCTTGGCTCCCTGCTGCCTGCATGCCGCCTTCCTGATGGAACATTGGGGGGGTGACGCCGGCTACACATCCGATACTTCAATGGTTCCTGACAACCAGGGCAGCACCTCCTCGATGATGAGCCAATCCACCAAACAAATGCCCACAGCGGCTATTCTCATGCAACTGGCGCTTGCTCTCCGCGTGAAATGTGATTCCAACCAATGGCCCCGTGACATACACAGAGACGCTTTCTCTCACGCACCCAAGCCTACACGGTTTTACACTTGACCCTCCTCTCAATGTGGGACGAGTGCTGAGATCCTATCGTTTGATGACCCACTTCGGATCGGCGGGAGCTTAGGCAGCACAGCCCAAATCCCATGACCCATCAGGGGTTTGACCCCGCAGAAGAACCTACCAGGTATATCAAAAGGTGTGCCGCATCTTTTGGGATTGACATTTCAAGATGCACTGTTGGGAAAACATCCCTTTTCGTCCTGAAGAGGGCAGTTGCTTGGTGACCCAGTGCCCCAGACACAGCAAGCAGCCAAGCCTAAGCGCAGCGTTCGCAGCCCACCTTTCTCCCACCTTCGCTTCACCAAGTTCAGCTCAACGGTTCGACCCAAAGGCGTGTCCAACAGGTGCACAACCCTTCGAAACCGGCGTGCGAAGTCCCCCACCGTGCATCAGCATCCTTCGGCGTGGCCCTCGGACCGTTCCAAATATAGAGGAAGGCACTCTGCTGTGGAAGAACTGGGCACCAGGAGCCGGAACCACAACCAAGCTAATCTGACATGAGACTTGCACGCCAGGCCACGGCGGATGCCTTCGCAGCGCTCCGGGCAGATGGAAGGGTCGTCACATGGGGCGACCGGGCAGGTGGTGGTGACAGCAGTAGCGTGGAAACCCAGCTGCGAGAGGTGCGGCACATCCAAGGCAAAGACGGAGCCTCCAAACATGGGTTGCAAATTTGATGTGATTTGCAAAGATGAAGAGGATGAATATACAATTAATTGATGTTGTTGTTTGGTATTGTTTGGTTCTTCATTTGTTGCAGATCTTGCTATTTCCAACTCACACGTTTCCCACTTAACAGGCTGGATGTCTTTTTTACAAGTCTATGAATCATAGTCTATCACTGGCCCTGTTGCAGGCTCAAAGGGAGCATTTGCTGCAATTCTGGGTGATGGATCCGTGGTCAGCTGGGGTGATGCACGTCATGGTGGTGACAGCAGCGCGGCCCAGGCTCGTCTTCAGCAGGTGCAGCACATTCAGGCAACCAGTGGCTTGATGTGCACCACCTGGCACCAACGGTTTTCAAGTGCCCCCCCTGCCTATCGCCCTGTTCTCATTCTTTGTACTATTCTTTGTCAAATGTATAAGTATTTGGTTTTTTTTCCTTGGCCACTTTTGGTCCAGTGAGGTAGTGCCTTTTGGTCCAGTGAGGTTCTTCGGAAGCCGCGCCCACGTGGCGCCACATGTGTTGGGAATGTGAAGGTTTCTCAAATACCAGAACCTTCGAGCCCAGTGATCTCTTTCAGCAAATTCTGGGATGGCCCATGGGCATAAACCACGAATACGATGCCGCTGTGCTAGCACATTTGGCCGATGTGCGCAGACGTCTGCTTGACCGGCGCTATCGCGCCATCTAGCGCATACCTGTGGCGTCGCTAAGGTGGATGGGTCTACTTGGCCGTCTACCTTGTCAAACCAAGCCCTTTGCAGCAATCCTAGCCGATAGGAGTGTGGTGACTTGGGGTCATCCTGGATACGGTGGCGATAGCAGCCTCGTGCAGGATCGACTCAAGGATGTTTGGAGGATCCAAGCCTCACGACGAGCTTTCGCAGCCATCCTTGCTGATGGCTCGGTCGTTGCCTGGGGCGACGAGCACTGCGGGGGTAGACCGGCTCGTGGGGTCCAAGACCGGCTCACAGATGTTCGACACATTCAAGCGTCCTTTGGTGCCTTCGCCGCCATTTGCTCCGATGGATCAGTCGTGGCTTGGGGCGATCCGCTCCGTGGGGGTGACTGCTCGGGCGTGCAGGAGCAACTGAAAGAGGTCCAGGCCATTCAAGCTGTGTGCGGAGCTTTTGCGGCCATCCGGAAGAATGGTTCGGTAGTGACCTGGGGTGATCCAAAGTATGGTGGAGATAGCAGTGAGGTCCAGGCTCAGCTGCGCGAGGTGAAAGAGATTCAGGCCACACGTACGGCATTTGCAGCCATTTTAGCGGATGGAGGTGTTGTGGCTTGGGGTGATCCAGAAGATGGCGGTGATTCTCGCCCAGTCCAACATCAACTGAGAAACGTTGAGCAGATTCAGGCCTCAGCTTATGCTTTTGCCGCGGTGTTAAAAGATGGCTCCATCGTGACCTGGGGCCTTCCAGAATGTGGAGGAGAGTTGCCTGGCACTTTTCAACACCAGCTGATGAACCTTTAGGAACTTGAGCTGCAGCTTCGCCTGTCCCCCGACTCCCTGTGCAATATGTCCAAAGTCGCTGAGTCTTTGCCATGTTTGACTTTGAAGCTTGCAACACCTGAACAGCACAAAAGGCTCTTGAAAGTGTTTCACCGTTCGTTCTGTTCCCGTCCCTGTTCTGGATTGGCTTTATAAACTTTATAGCCTTGGGGCGCGAAAAAGCAGCTTGCTCTTGTTAGTCGCGTGATCACAGAGACGCAGACAGACAGACACGTGTTTCAGCCCAGCCACATTTTAGAGTTGAGATTGACCACCGTCCAAGTGAGTAGAGAGTGCCAACTTGCCCCTCTGACTTCAAAGAGGCTGTGGTCCGCGCAGCGGCAGCCGCCCCATCGCGGCCAAGGGTTGTTTACACATCCTCAATGGCGGGGGCTCCAGAAAACGGAGCAGCTTGGGCACGAGCTGAGCTGGTGGTTTGAGCTGAAGAATCACATCTGAAGAATCACCAGAAGACCCCGACCATTTTCACTTCTTCATCTACCAGTGAGGCATTTCACCATCCATCCTAATTATGAAGTCACTTATGAAGTCTTCTAGTGGGAAAGATTGGCCATGGCCACACTTGTGTGCGACTGCCAGGGCAACCAAGCTTATCATGGGTCTGCAGTGGATCATGATCCGGACACGTTGGTTCCTCCATTAGTGATCATCCTTGTGGCAAGTGTTTTGAACGAAGTGTCAGGCTGCAGTGCGGGGCCCAGGCCAGGAGCCTCGCAAGGGGCAAAGATGTTTTGATGAGAAGGAGACGTGGTGAGATCCTGTAAGCCTGTCACTATTTTGCATGATGGCAGACATGTGTGCAGGACTTCAACTCACAGTCACATCCAGAAAACGGCTGGGGGGAAGCATATCAATACAGCAGCCTGGCCTGTTTGTATAGTCACCTTTGTTGGACATTGGCTACGGAAGATATCAACACTTTCAACGAGCTTTTGCCTTCCTTGTGGTTTTGAGTGCCTGGATGTTGGGAGCAGGCAAGCGCGAGTCTGAACTTCGGGTCGCGGCCATAGAATCATAGAGTAAATGTGGTTCGTCTCAGACCATCCCAAGACAGGACGGGAAGGGAAAAAGATGAGACAAATGCGAAGCTGCTGTCATTGAAACCGATTGGAGGCCAAATCCCTGGCGGAAGAGCTGCAGGTTGACTTTGTGCCGGCGCCCCAGTCCCGGCGTCGGGTCTTTCTGATCCTGGACTGGTGAGGTAATGGCTGCCCTACTTACTCAAGCTAAGCGGGGGACAAGGGGATCAACAGGACAAGACTCCGACTTGAAAAACAAGCGACCTTGTTACTAGTAGCGATGCCCTTGTTACTAGTAGCTTCTGTTGCCACTTCTTTGAGCAATGTGAGTCGGAACAAGGTGTTTGTCAACAGTCTGACATCGTGCGCGAGCGAGACGAAAGGTCCTCCTTCTCGACACCGATGACACACCTGTCACCCACCGTTGGTGGTTTCCGAGGTCTCTTTGCCCCTCCTTCATCCTGGGGCCAGAGCGAGGGTCCAGCGACGGTTCCGGTTTTTTCTGTGAGCCGGGCACTCGAGACTGACTCGTATGGAGGTCGGGGTAGCACTGGGCAGCACCCGGCCAGCCCCGGGGTGGCTGCATGGCATTGGCGGGTGTAGACTGACAATCATATTGGCCCTTTCAAAGGGCGTCTATCCAAGTTGGATCGAGGCGAGCTGAATCCTGGCTGAGGCATGGTGCTCTCATGGATGAAGGGTGCCTGGTGTCCAAGGGGTGTCCATATGGGCATTCAGAGCCAGGATTCAAAGTGCCATACAATGAGACTGGTTGGTTCTTCCTTACTTACTGTAAGTTCTGTTCCACTAGCCCTTCTCCTCGGTCTCACTGCCGCAGAGAGCTTTGGAGTTTTGCTTTTGTTGAGCTCGGGCCCCTGCATGATTGACTTTAGTATCGATCTACCTACAGTACCTATTTGTGCATGCATGGAATCAAAAAAAGGATTGAGATTTGGACCGAGGAGCAGAAGGTGCGCAGCCTCCTCATTGCTGATGTGCGTGATGTGGCCACTGCTCACGTGGCTGCCGCGAAAGCCCCGAAGAAGGGCGGACGCTTCATCGTCAGCACGGAGGCGTGCGGATGACGCCAGATATCTTTCATGCTGGAGCGTGGAGGAGGAATTATATACCTATATATATATATATTCTGAAATGTGATTGGTGGATGAATAAGAAGAGTCAGTTCCTTCATGCTGTGTTTTATATAAGAGATGCTGTTTCGTCAGTGAGGTTCGTCCAGTGCCAGAGGAAGTGGCGGCAGTGCCTTGGACCAGCAAGGATGGATGTTCGAAGTTGGCACGAGCAGTTTGAAGTAGCTTGCTGCAACTTGCATAGTTGGAAGGCGTGACAAACCCTGCGCTGCAGGTGCTGAGAGAGGTGGTCGCTCCTGCCTGGAGTGCCGATTCAGCCAAAACCATCACTGCTGCGGCCGCACCTGGAGATGGGCCAGCCTGCATGCGTGCACTTGGCGGCATTTGTTCTACCAAAAGGGGCAGAAGCATGAAAGGCAGCAGGCCTTTCAACCTACACACCAGCCCAAATCGGAACCTCAATGACCTCTGAAGAGAATCGATGCAGAAAGAGCGATGCCATGAGTTGGACCTGGATTTTCCTAAGGCCCTGGTGCCCATGAGGTCCGCTGCACTCAGCAGCTCCGGTCAGCGCTGGGCCTGACCTGTCGCGATGCGCTGGTGACGGCGGGGAGTGCCCAGGAAGCGAGAACAGCCCCTCAGGAGTCATTCGGAAGCGGGCGAACAAAACAAGATCATCCTCACCTCGTTGGCCAACTTGGGTCAAAAGTGTTTACCTGAACATATCCCAACATGGTTATGGTTCGATTGGTTGAACGCTCCGTTTTTTTGTTTTGATGGTCCGAGGTCCGGGACATGGCTTCCCACTTGGTGTCGACCAAAGAATTCTGCTGCTTGGGTGTCGTCGTTGTCTTCGTGAATCGCTTGGCAATGCTTGGCATGCATTGGAAAGAAGCAGCCCACACTCCAAATTGAGCAGCATCGCTTAGCCTGAGACTCCAACAGAAGCCTTGGAGATGCAACGGAATGTCAATCCAGACCGCCAATTCTTAATCATAGTCAGTCGTCCAACTGACGTGGATCAAATTTCGACAATCAGACCAAACAAGACACTTGAGGTTGGGTTGAGGTGGCCTACGGGCTCTTAAAGGTTCTTGACCTTCTTGCCCGAACACTGCAAGGGTACATCGCATTGCCAGTTGAGCCACCCCTGATAATTGCCGTGCGGGCCATGGACTACTCCACGTTTGCATGCTCAATCTCGAAAGGAAGTGCTTTGATGCTCGGAGCAAGAGGTGTAAAGCCAGGGTGAGAGCACTCGATCTTGAGTATACATGGTGAAGATCAGTTGCGAGACACCGAGGATTTGGCGAAACGGGAAGCAGGCACGGGTTTTCGCAGCGACGAGAATTTGGAGTGGAGTCATGATGTATCGGAGCAATGTTGACAAGTAGCGCATCAGGCAGAGCTGCACAGGGGTCAAAGGAGAAAGGGCCACAGCCTCGACTTCACTACCCCCTTGAGAGATGTAATGATGGGAGTTTGAGGCTTAGACCGTGGAAAGTGTCCTATGCCAATGGGGACACCTATGAGGGAGAGGCGTGGGGCCAGCCGGGCCAGCCGGAGCTTTTCAGATTCGATTGGCCCAGCAGGGTCAAGTGTTGGAATATATAATGTTTTAGCCCGGAGTGCCGGAGGGCTACTCCACCCCATGGGCACCTACGAGACCACCACATATTGCCATATCTAAACACTGCATGCAGTCCCTAGTTGGATTTGCCGCTTCCTGGTCCATTGAAGCAGTTCGATTCAGATGAGTGCGACCCACTGGACCCTACCGCTGGAGCGAGATGGCGCAAGGCAACAGGGCCTACCCCGGCACAGTGCTTGCGCCATGGGTACGGTGTGTACACCTATGCCAGTGGGGGTCGTCAGAGGCTCAGGCACATTCAGACAATGGACATTGCTCTTTCGGCAGCTTTTTTGTTCGACTAGGCTATGAGGGCGAGTTTGTGGAAGATCGGAAGCAGGGCTGGGGATCCTTCTTTTTCGAGAATGGGGATGCCTATGAGGAGATCCCGGCATTTTGCACACTCAAAAGTGCCAAGCCATGGGCATTTGCAATTTCATGCTACTTGGGCCATTGTGAGACCCCAAGTGCAGGTCAGAAGTTCGGATAACACATAGTAGCTGATTATAGCTCATGATATAAATTAGAAGGAACTTGCGTTTTGCACAGGGGCAGTGGTATGCAGACCAGATGCACGGCCACGGCGTTTTGGCGCACTGGGCGCCGACGGAGGGGGTCCTCATTTATGAGGCCCGGGTAGCTTTGCTTAGTCTTAAGAAAGGTCCGCGAGAACAGCACTGGGGCTTTCTGTGGGACGTCCTAGTGCAACTTGCTGTACTAGTACTAGTTATTAACTGCTCAATCTCTTCCTTAACCGGTGTTGCCTTTTCATTTTCACAGATTTTCATCAGATCGATGACCTTTGCTTCATGATGCTTCGTGATGTCTCCTTTGGTGACTGCTCTCATGAATTGGCAGGGCGAGTTCCGGGAGGGCCTACGCTGCGGCAGCGGATTCCTGGTCGTGCGCGAGGGCGGTGGCCTCTTCGGAACTTGGGAGGAGCGTGAAACATGCGATGCATACAAAGCATGCGTGTCATCCGAGTGGGTTTGGGTGGGCCCAATATGTTGTGTATGATTTTGTCACCCAAAATTAAATTCCTCTGCATTCCAGCTTGGATGAAGACATTGCCACCTTCTCATGGACAAAGACATGTAAGATCTCTTACTCGTGTGCCTCCAGTAGCGCAGCATGGGAGGAAAGTCATGGAAACTGCTTGTGCCAGGATGGACTGTTAGTACAAGGTGTTCAATTGGAGCTCCCTGAGCCTGGACATATGGACTCTTGGCTTCAAAAGTCCTAAATTGATGGATGAATGAGCTGGTCGCCACCAAACGAGGAGAAATTGACAGGCTTTTGCTGTCTAGTTGTTTTGAAGTGTGCGTTCTGCCAGTGACAGATGCAGCTATTGCCAGCTGATGTCTCCAGGCTGTGACGGTCATCAGCGACAGCCAAACACCGTTGGGTGGAAGCCCCGCCGAGTGGCGTCCGTCTGAGGCGCCCGAATGGCACCTGGAGCACGCAGATCGCTCGATCCCAAACACCATCAAACACCTAGCCAAAGAACAAGGAGTCGCGTCAATGGCTTTAGAAAGTTCTGGCAGTTTGGACGTGTCAAGACTTTATCATGGATCAAAGACTTGGGACCGGCCAAAACAGACAAATTGGGACTGACACGGTTCGCTGATGAGCATCACCAATCTGTGCAGGTCCGGACTTGGTTACATGGCCTGGGTTTGGAAGAGGCACCAGAGAGGGCTATGGCACCCTCTGGAGGAGCCCAGCTCCTACAGGTCGGGGCTGGGTGGGGCGTGGATAGCCTCACACAGTCATGGCCACATGACCCCCTTCTGCACAGAAGATTAGAATGTTCTGCCGCAACATGCGCTATTCATTCTAGAACGTCAAAAGATAATTACCAGGTCTAACGATGAGAGAGGCGGATTGGAAGATTGCTGTGAGGGCATGTGAGCAGTGAGGCACAGCCAGAGGAGCTCGTGCAGGGTGGACAGGCAGGAGACTCAATCTCTGTGTTGTGATAATGTAACTGTGTGTGTAGACCACGTAGAGAGAGAGAGAGAGAGATAGAGAGATCCCACTAGCGCCTGGCATATGCTGGCCATTCATTCGTATGCTGTGCTGGCGGCACAAAAATTACAACGGATCGCACTTCCCATGTACCAACTGAAGCCGACATCATTCAACCCCTAAAGGTGAGCAGCGGCCGCTCTGAACTATCTGCTTGGAAGCACACCTTGGCTGCTGCCCATCAAGCCTTGGTCGATGCCTGCGCCATGGCTTCAATTGCATCCTGATGTTGCTGTCTTCATCTTCAGCTGGGATTCTGAGCATTCTATAGTCTATAGCGCTTCTCTTGGGGCCAGGCCAAGATGTCATGCCGCCCGTGGGCTGCTGGGAGCAGTTGCAGATTGCTTTTCCTTCTGTGAAGCAGCGCTTGGTGCCGCTTGCGGAGCACTCTTGTATTTTTCGGTATTGTCTTTGCAGTATATAGAGCCTTTCCTCAGATTCTTCGTGCGCTTCTTCATTGCAGATCTACAAAACATAGATTACACGGGATATACCGCACCTGAATGGTACCTCCAGGAGCTTGTCATCAACGAGGGGGGGCGAATTGCAGAATGGAGCCTTGGCATGCAGGTAGTGATCCTTTCGCTTTCCTTTGGCTCCCGCGCCATGCCAAGACTAAGTATCAGCAGAGGTGCCTATTGATGCCCAACTTGTGCACAAGTGATCGTGTTGAAATTTTGAAGATGCTCAAGAGACATGAAGCCTTCTACAGTGTTTCTAAGCATTTTGCGGGTCTCGAAGTACTTGAACTCACGAAGTTCCAAGCAACCAAAGAAA